ATCCCCCCCCCCCCCCCTCTCCTCAGAACTTCACCCCTACAACACACAGACAGGCCGACATACAGACAGACGGACGGACAGATAGACAGACAGACAGACAGACAGGCGGACGGACAGACAGACGGTCAATTTTATAATTACCAGTACACTTTAGGTATTTTGTGCGTGTGTGGGGGGGGTTGGATGGGTAGGTGAGAGAGAGAGAGAGAGAGAGAGAGAGAGAGAGAGAGAGAGAGAGAGAGAGAGAGAGAGAGAGGGGGGGGAGAGAGAGAGAGAGAGAGAGAGGGGGGGGGGTAATATATAAAAAGGGTTTACGACTCGTAGTAGAAGAAAATCCATGGCGTTACAAACTTCAAAATGTAAATCTGAGCTTCAAGACATAGACTGAACTTGGGGCCAATAAAATACGGATAGATCTGACTTGATCGGCACGGAACAAGAAATACAATGTACTTCTACGGAATACTAGAAAACAAACTGAAAGTTAGAAGCAACCACTTTTTAGCCCTGCCCCCTGTACATCACCCAAAGACCTACTTTTCACATACACTCACGCAAAGTCTCGACGTGCACTCGCTATATAAAAATAAAACCTGTGTGCTGTCAATACCTTTCCAATGACGCTGTCCCACGAAGATGAAGTCTAGAATCAGATACTGTACCCTGTACTAGACTCACAATCACGTACACATTGAACAAATTTAACCCAGAATTTCCGGTCCGATTCAAAGGTTCTTCTCTTCTTTGCTCTTCTCTGCTCTCAGTTCACTGCTCTAAGAGAACTGTGTCAAATGCTAATTTTAGTAGTTAGAGTCTAGCTGGGGTGAAGGTGGAAAGGGGGAAAGGGGGAAAGGGGGAAAAGGGGAAATGGAAAAAGGGCGGGGGAGGAGGAGGGTGTATTGTTTTAGGCCCAGACCCTGACAGCCGAACGTGGGGCGCTGCTCTCTCCTCGTTAAAATTTCCTCTATAACATGACTGGCCGGAACGAAGGATCGCCGGTGTAGCACGCCAAACTGACTCCCACGCCAGAGGCACTCCCCCGTGCGTTTGGCGTGGCGGGAAGTCGCTTTGGCGTGAACCCACGCGAAATCTACTTCCACGCGAAACGCACTCCCTCCACGCCAAACGCACTCCCCTAAGGGAAACAACTCTGAATCTATTATTAGCGCAGAGTGACTTCCCGGAAAAATGGATGAATTGGAACAAATCTTCGACTACATTGTCTCCAAAAAATATCCTAATTCCGTAAAAACAAATGGACAAAAAGTCGATTTTAGAAGAAGAGCTGGCAAGTTCACTGTTGAGGAAGGGGTCCTGAAGCGAGCAGTCAAAGACGATGTAAAAAACGGTGAGTTTCACTTCATGATTTAATCTAGATCTAGTCATTCATTCTCTCCCCCCCCCCCCCCCCTCTCTCTCTCTTTCCCTCTCTCTCTCCATCCCTCTCTCTTTCTCTCTCCCTCTCTTCCTCCCCCCTCTCTCCATCTCTCTCTGTCCCCCTACCCCCCCCCCCTTCTCTCTCTCTCTCTCTCTCTGCAAATGTGTGTCTTAGATCTAATCAGCTTGCAATAATTGTATGTATAAGCTTGAGAGAGCATATTTTTGTCTGTGTGCTGCGTTAGTTTTTGCACATGCACACATTGGTTGAAAAATTGCTAGATTCTGAGAAAGGGAACAGCAGCAGATATGTTTCTGGTAGAAACTGAGAAAGTGTTGCACTGTCAGGGCTTAACAGTGACTGTGTTCATCCACATGCACAGTACGGCAAGTAAAAAACAAACAAACCACTTTCCAATACTGAATGTGAACTTTCCCGAAATGCAAAAATGTGTGTGTGTGTGTGTGTGTGTGTGTGTGTGTGTGTGTGTGTGTGTGTGTGTGTGTGTGTGTGTGTGTGTGGATATGATCCCCCCCCCCTTTTTTTTCTGAAATGTTACATATGCTACAAAATGGTTTAGAACCTTAGGTTGATAATTTGATGGATCGACTGACTGATTGATTGACTGACTGATTGATTGGTTTATATTATTGACGATTGATTGATGAATCGATTTCATTTGTCTACAGCCAAGTACCTCAGAATGATCACTGACAGAACGGAACAAATTCGAATTATTCGAGCAACACACGGAGGCCTTGGTGAAACCGTGGAATCAAGATCGCTGGGAGGTCACCTTGGATGGGATAAAACTGAAGGACGGCTATCTAAATCAGCGTGGTGGCCAGGTGTTCGCAAGGATGTGCCCCCAAAACCATGGTCTCAGATCGGGGTTGACACATGTTCCTTGGCGAAATCTAAAGATGGTTTTACGTGTATGGTGGTCGGGAATTTGTAAACAGTGTGTCCAGGGCTCTACACAAACTGAGTGATGTTGAACAGAGAGTCACAAGTGCCTACCACCCCCAAGCAAACGATCTTGTTGAAAGA